CAGAAGTCACGCAAGCTAACAAGTGGAAAAAAATTCTGATCTTGACAAGAAGTCACGACAAACATGAGATTTTATCATACTAACCTGATAAATTTCCATTCCACTGAAGAGAAACTTTTCTGTGTTTAATTAAGAACCCTCCAGGCTTACCAGACTCATATGAAATTAAATATAGCAAACTAATAAAACTGTTATCTTGAGAAGCAGAGATTTCTATGTGGACAGAAACTGTCCTGTTTTAAATCTGCTTTCATTGGGAAACATATGCAGGTACGCTTGACACACATTCTCACTAGACCGCTATGAAGGGAAACATAAGGCAGACAGCCACACTTCCTGTGGGGACAAATAGGGGAACCAGTGTTCTGAGCCAGTTACCTACTGGATAATGGAGGTTTCTGACCTCAGAATGCCGTCAGCAGAGCCCAATTTCTGGGCTTTCTTTCACTGCCAGGATAAGATGTCCCTACAGTCACAGTCCACATATTGTAAGATGTGATGACCTAAGAGCTGCACCTGACAGTTAAAATAGTCCCCTTGCTTCTCTAACTTGGTCAAACAAAGAGCCGTAAGCACATTAGGAGGAAAAGTGTGACGTGAATCTTATTTGAACAACTGCATATGGACCAAATGTCATATTTTCCTCTACATGAACAATTCTGTTACCTAATGGAAGCAGGTCAAAAGGTAAAAGAACTGGTCCAAGCACAGAACTAAGTAGGACTTAAAGCGCTCTGGCTTTGACAGATTCAAGATGGTGCCAGCGTGTTACTGAGAGGCTGACAAACATTCAGAGCTGTTGCAGTGAAAACCAGAGGGTGGAGATTTCAGTGGATTTAACCAGCATTCACTACATTTACACTGAAAAACATAAATACTTTTTTGATAAAAGTCCTGACGGTTTCAAATGAAAAACAGAAATACAGACCTGGTTAGTTATGCAGAGACTGTTGCTACGACAACAGACACAGATGTGGATAAACTTCTTTTTGTGAAACAGAAAACTCAGAGTTTCCTCATTTCAGATTTAACAAACTCAGAGTTTTCAGAAAAGCTCCTTCATAAAATGGAGCCTTGGTCCTGCTGACAGAGCAGCTGCTGTTCAGAACCTCACAGAACGTCTGTTATTTCAGGATATGGGGACTTCTATTCAGCTGATAGATTTACAAATATTCCAAAAACACCAACAGCTCGAGTTTCCTGATTTAACTTCACACAGGGTGGAATCCAGAGTTTAAATCCAACATTATCAGCCTGTTCTCTTTCAGAGTGTTTCTGAAAATTCCCCCACAGCTGAAGAGAAACGTGTGTGTTTCTATTCCAGTAAATTCTGCTTCAGATGCTTGATAAAATTGAGGATTCACTTCAGCTTCAGTTCAGCTGAGCTGACGTTTGTTTATTAACCCTTTAAAGCCCGATCCAAGAGTAAAACAAAAAAGAAAATAACTTTTTTTTTGTTTGAATTCCTTATTTGGCCTTTTAACAGAATATGTTTTAAAAAAACAGAAATACTTTTTTATTATTAATAATTTATTACTATGTCAAGATTATTTTTTGTTTAGTCTTCTGCCCCCTGCTATCAGGTGTATCTGATTGT